AAAGTATCATTCAAAAAAATGCTACAGAATCCACGAAATATCTTTCTGTGGATTCCACTTATAACTCTATATTGTTATTAAATGCTCTTCTGAATGCACTCATACTTATCCCTGAGCGGACTGGTTCCTCAGTAAAAATGAAATATTTACTCTCAAAACGAAAATTACACAAACCTCTTTTAGTTGAATACTTTTCAGACTCATGCATTGAATTAACGCTTCTGTAGATCACAAAATTTTATCTTTCTTACTGCTACTAGTATTTGGCGTTATAGTTTAATTGATAATTGTGCTTGGAAGAATAATCGTTACTAGTATGATCTTATGCAGTATACTTTCATTATATTTGTTCATAAAGTACCATCGTTTTTGCAACATAATCAAGATCGACATATTACTGTTTTTAGTTATTTATAGAAGTAATTTATAGTTATAATGATAACAATGATGATAAATTGTTATCACTTAATGACGATAATATTAAAACATCATTGGTTTTTATCTAATGGCAAAATCTACAGCAATGATTTGTGAAGTTATGCTCGTTATAATAAAAATAATAATTAGTTTTAGGTAAAATACAATTAAAGCATCGTAATCTGGACAAAAATAAACAGTAATATTAGTAATAAAAATGGCTCAATCTGTAGAAAATTAATTTTACTATTATCCTGAAATAAGGCACGTGATGCAAATGCTGTTAAAGAGTGATAAAAAGATAGCTTTACCAGCCAAAATACAAAATGCCACAAAAATTTCTAAAAGATTGTCTAGCAATAAGCAAAAATTAGCACAATATCAAATACAACCTGAAATAAAACGTTATATAGTAGAACACAATCAGACGCAACCACAAAATAAAACAAACGATCATTCACTATCAATTTTGACTTGAACTTTGACAGCCGCAAAATTTGCATGCACATGCCATTTTCGTAAACATGCATGTATTGCGCATATTGCCACGTAACTTCTGTGATATTATTACTGATTGATTAACCTTCTTCCTTGTTTAATATGGAATTTTAGTTCTTATCAATGCAAAAACTTGTTTAAAAAATGAAAAATCACAAACACAAATCCAACTTTAGTGTTGCCCAAACGTAACATTTGAAAATTAAAGGCAGGTAGGTTCCTGTTTAGATTTTAGTTGAATCTTAAGAGCATAAAAAATACAAAAATAATTTCGGAATTCTTGAAAAAATTTCTTAAATCCATGTAAATTATGCATTCGAAGGATTTTGTGAACGACATCTGTTAAATTTGTACAAACTGAACTGTCATTTTCAAAATACAATAAGGTCAATCAACGATAAGCAACTACAGCTCTGATATTCCTGCTTTCTTTTAATTTACATTGCTAATTATTAATTAATTCTCAGTTTAGTGCAAAGTAATGGATAATTGCTTTAAGCTGGACTGCATTAATAGAAATCTGAATTTTGAAGTTAGTGATTTTATTGTGTTTTATTTATAAACTTGTTTAAAATTGCATTAAAAAAAAATTAACTCTAAAATAAAGTGATAATTTGAATTGCAATACTCATTTATAGCCAAAAAATGCTTTTAAATTTCTAAAAATTAAGCTAAAGTATTTGCTAGATATCAGATAAACACAACTGTTATCAAACTTTAAATGTTGCAATTTTAGTCACTAAATTCAACTCAACGAAAATGTAATTTAATTGGAAGCGAAGAAGAATTTTTGAAGCTGTTAATTGAAGTCTCAACTGACTGACAACAAAACTTGATAATTATAAAATTATTTATGAATATATTGCATGTGGTGATTACTATTTGCCTCACATCAATTACTTTCATTGCTAATTGACTAAATCCAAGCGGTTGTTCTCTTGACCAGAACAATTTTTCACTAAGTTAGATTAAAATCTAGCATGAACTTTACCTTTTAGCATCAAAATTATTGAAGCTTGAAATTTAATCTGCATTAATTAATTTTACAAAAAACAACGACTAATAATTCATATAATTTTTGTGTAATTTAAATAATTTAACTTTCTGGAATTCGATACTTTAATTATCAGGTTGCTTGTGTTTTAATGGTATGTTACTTGATTAAAGTAGCATATGTCTGTAATCACATTATAAATTTGTTATTAACTAATAGCTTTTCAGTAATATGACGAGAAACGTTTCAATATCAAAAATTTTGACCTAAAAAAAGTAATGCTAGCTCAAATACACTTACCAGTTTGATCAAAATCAGCAAGTTGACACTTTTCTTGCTCTTCGAATTCTACGCAGCCTGAACCTTCTGGTTGAATTAGACCCTCTTCAGAACTTGGCTGAAAATTCAAAAGTTTATTATTCTTCTGAAAGCTTTATGCCTGTAAAAACTTTATAGCATTCATTTTTATCAATCTTCGCTAAAAATATTTTGTCTGCTTCAAAACAAATCCAACAAAAGATGCGAAGTATACGCAATAATGAGCCATTTCAGAATTGCTGTACATGGCATTTGACTCGTAATAAGAATCAAATAAATGGGTTTAAAAAGCTGTAAATCAGTTGGCTAAACTATATTCATTCGTAGCCAGAATCTTTCAGAACTAAGCCTTCTTACTGTGGCTAAAGTTTTGTTTTGTTAACTTTTTGCTTGAATTTAATTCTGGAATTTTTATTATTTTGAAATGACATTTTCAAAAATTTTAAACAAAGCAATTATAACTTTTGTTTAAAACTAGTATATTTTAAAATATTTCAAAGAAATGTTAGCTCAATATTATTTCATACTAATGGATATTCAGTTCGTAGTTCACTTTCATAAACTGAGATCACTGACTAATAATTAATTAACTAATTAGTTTAGAATATGTAATAATAGATATTCATATTACTAATAAAGCTAAATTTCAGTGAAAAGAACTAATCAAACACTATTATTTACTATCTGATACTAATAAAATTAGCAACTAGTATGCAAATGATTGCCCAAAATTTCAGAAATTCAAATCACAAATGCTATCAATGTTTGGGAAAAAATATAAAAAACATTTGAATTGAAGAAACAAAATTTCATATTTTAGTTTACTATAAAAATTTGCCAATTTAATTATTCACGGAAAATGTCAAACAGTTCAAAAATATTTGCTGTGTAATAATACTTTTTACTTTTTTACATTTTTTCACGGATTAAAATTTGTTTTCATTCAATTTACTAAAATATTTTTAATTACTATTCGTGATTACTTCAAGGCTTACAAGCTTTTTACGCGTATGTTATAATCAATTTCATTACAGTAAAAGTTTTACAGTAGAGTCATTTCAAAATTTGTTTTACTTTTTAATAATATTGAGGAGATAAGTAGAGAGTAGCCTTCTAAAATAACTTCTGGAGCTGGAAAACTTGAATGTTAATAACTTTAAAATAATTTTGTGAGTAGTTTTTATCGTTCTTCAATTCAAACTGATAGCAATGTTATCAGAACGAAAATATGAATATCATTACTATCAATCTCCTTGTTGCTAAAAAATACTTGAAGGTTCGTTTTGGCATAATGCTTCTGCTGGTAAGTATACAAGCACACATGCTATACTTACATATTGAAATATCTAGTAAATGTGTGTACATATATAATAAGTCCACCGATATATACTCAAACTAATCAGTTACAATATAGTATCCATAATTTTATCCCTTACTTTTATTTATTTAACTGACATATCAATTTATTTATTTATATTAACTTATTAAAAAAAATATTTAAATTGTTTTTTTCGCAAAATAAAAGAAAAACGACAAAAGCACATAAACTAATTAGATCAAATAATTTAATTAGTGTCTAAATAACATTTATATGTTTAGTCCAGATGTGCCTAATGTAATTTCTACTGTAGGTTACTTTCGCTCTCAGACATATTGTCAAAAATATGCACATTTTTTCATGAAAGTTCACTACTATTGGTAAAAGTTAAGATGATAAAAATTTGGAAAAATAATCTGACAACAAAGCTGCTTCAGAAAATTATTACAAATTAATTTTCAAATTTCACTAAACGTGTGCGTAGGGGTAAATCTTGTCAATATAATCATGGAAGCTAAGTAAAAATGACTTAAAAAGAAAAGCGAAATATACGTGGAATATATATATTTTCATATTTTCAAAAATTATGTTACTAATTCAACTCATAACTAATTTTCAACAAATATCGAACTTTAGCCTCAAGTATGTAAAGTAAGCTTTGCTGTTAATTAAGCGATAGCAATGAAAATGGAAATAGCTTGCAGCAATGTAACGCTTGTCAACAAAAATATTGTGCGAATTTTAAAATTTTTAGGAAAATGCTGCTACTAAATATTCCATTCTGATACCTTCAAAAACGTGTCACAGATTAATTTTGCTAAAATACTTCAAAAATCATATTGTACATCAGAATAATTAAAGTAAATGCTGCAAACATAATCCATTAAATTGATTCAAAACTTAAAAAAACCTGATTATATCGCTTCATTTTCAGTTGGCAGTGTATATAAAATTTAAACAAAAAAGTATTTTCTTATTACTGTTTTTTTAAATTTTTCACTAAATGATATGAACTGAGCTGATTTGATTTGAGATAATCATAACCTGAATCTGCTCACTCATATAATTCAAAGTTTACGTGTAAATGAATGAGGAAAGGATTTCGGGATGCTGCGTTTTAGCATCTAATTGTGATTACTGACTTTTTTCGTGCTAAAATATTAAAAAATTCAAAGCTTTCTGCTCTATTAATCATAATTTCAAGATCATAGAAAGCTGAATATTTATTAAGATTACTTCGAGTAAGTGCTAAATGCAAAAAAATTATAACTTGAAAAATTTATCTGTCATTTGCATAAAACATAAACATTAAATTGTTAAATTGATGCTTAAAGCAAGAAATATTTATTCATTTATTTAAGTGATGTTTCTGATATAAATTTTTAAGAACACTTTGAAAAAACTTTTCTATTTATATACTGAAGTAATCAATATGCACAAATTCTATGAATACTTTTACGTACGAGTGAACTTCATGAGTAACTTCGCTTGATATCTAGCAAACTGACGATTTACAATTGACTGAAACAGCATGATTTTAAGTTAAGTCTAATTATGTATTAACTAAATATTTGTCTTCATAATGTGGGGTTCAGCTGCGGATATAATTTGATGTATTTTAGCTGATGTGTATTTGTCCATATCAGTCACTAAAAGTCTTTACAGTGCTTTCCTTAACAATAAAAATTTTAAAGGTTGTGATTTTTCAATTCCAGAAGACCAGTCAAAGAATAACGCAAAGTTTGAATGAGTTTTGCAAAGAAAAAGTAACAGTCACTAACCGCCCAATCGTTGGTCACAAAAGTCTCTTGACCTTCCTCCTTGACCTCGTCGTCGTCCATGAAAGAATCTCTTCTTTCAAACGAATTTGTATCGGATGACATGTGCACGAGTCGAGGTGAGCCGATTCGATAGACTTGCTGTGAACCTGGAAACAAAATTGTCAACTTGAATTGCTCATTTCGCACGTATAGAAAGAAATTTTATCATATTCCGAATTTGATAGAAATTTGTGCCAAAATTGTACCATTTCGAAAATTCAAAAGAAATGAGTGCAGTGAGATGACAAAAATAGAATAGCTGTAAATTCTACGTCATTGCAAGCCTTTACGTCAACATAAAAGTTACAAACAATAGCTGTAAATTCTACGTCATTGCAAGCGTTAACGTCAACGTAAAAGTTACAAACAATAAAGGATTAAATTACCTAAATACTTGATTTAATACTTAATAAGTATGGCATTGATGCAATCAGTCATTTATGACTTTATTTAATCTTATTATTTAATCGTTCTTATATTTTTCACACAGTTTTTATACTGTATTTATTTTAGAGAATTCATTCCGATAACATTTTAGCATCAAACATGCTAGCCTTTTTAACGAAAGATTCAAGAAAATCTAGCTTAAAGAGTTTGTGATTCGATCTTGAATAAACTTTCTAATCAAACATTTTGGACAAAGCACTTTTTTAAATAATTTCCAGAATTATAATTGTTATGGGCTTTAATTTTATGGAATACTAAATTACATTTCAACGACCTTAACAAATTTGCATTGCTAGAAAATGTGATTGCATGCATGATATATAGAATTGAAAAAGCAATCAGCTGAAAGAAATGAATCGGAATCTTTTAAAGTCAAACTTAAGTAAGTGAAAATCGCGTTTCAGAGTATATTGCGTGTGCTCATTCAAACTTTTCATCGGATTTCACTAGTGAGAATTAATATAAGTTCATATAAGCGCTTAAAAGACATTCAAGTTGGCTCAATTCAAATTACATCTTTAACTGATATTTTCAACTATTTTGTTGTTTTTCCTTTTCAACAATTATATACCAACAATATATATAGCTCTTTGAATGGTTCATTTCAACAATATTTGTAATAGTTACAGTCTTAAACAAAGTAAAGTAAAAAAACAATAATTAAAAACAATTGAACTGTCTTAATACTATACATTAAATATGACATTATACAGTACAAATCAAAATTCGATTTATTAGTAAAATTTTTGTGATCGAAAAATTTTTAATATATTTGTGTACAGATTAAAATACAAATAAATAGCCTGAGATCAGAAAATTTACTAATATATCATACATATACAGTTTACTGACTTGCATTCTCTGAGAAGTAAATTCCTTTTTATCCATTTTCTGATATATCTCTGAAGATATCCTTTTCAGTAAGTTGTAGTTATTCAGAAAGTATAATTTATGCGTTTGAATTTAATAATTAAAGTATTTATCGCGCAAACTGAAGAAAAAGCATAATACTTGCTAAACTTTTCTCGCACTTTGCTTAGTAAAAAATAATAAATTGTGTTTTGGTATTTTGCTAAGTAACTGTTTGACTACAATTCGGTCTGTATTACTTAACTTTAAGAAAATTTAAATTCATCAAATTGATCGTTTTGATGATAGAAAAGGTTAAAGTTCCAGCTGACAGGTAATTTTATTGAAGCAAACGTCCTTCTGACGACTATGTACACCAGTAATCACTTTAAAGATACAGTTTTTCAAAACACTTATTAAACCATACATTTTTCATTTTTATACGTAATCTCTTTAATTAATTCTGATTATTTGAAAAATAAATTGGATAATTTGGCTTCAATTTCTCAAAGTAAAATACGTAAGTCAATGCCCGTAAGTACTTTGATGAAAATAGGATTTCGTGGCTTATATAGTATTAATGGGCAAACAACTTCTAACAATATTAAACAACAAATATTACGAATCACTCATTTTCATTCATAAATAATGTCTAATTCCACTGACAGAATCCCAAGTGTATAGATGCTAATATTGAATAACTTAATATGTCACCAATCGAGTTTTCAGTTATTTGGTCAAGTTATTAAATAATTTTGATAACTTAGTGCCAAGGTTACAATTTAAGAAAGTATAGTAAGCACAAAAAATAGTGAAATGAACAAACTGTTGACGTAAACTCTGAATTTTACGACGCATATAGTAAAATCGTCAGAAAAGTTACTCGTATATTCCAGAGGATATTTATAAATTGACAGACTTTATTTCTGTTCGATGCA